AGTGGTGTGGAAATCATCATGGAAACTGAAAACAGCTGTTTTGGTCTGAAGTCTCCCATTTTTCCATTGCTCTCGCTGTCAGGGAGGGCAAGTATTTAATGTTTACATCAAGGTCAAAGTCAAATCAAACTTGCTACTGTTGAGTTGATTCAGACTCATGGTGACCCCACCATTGGTTTTCTGAGGCTGTAAATCTTGATAAGAACAGACTGGAATTGAACCACTGACCTTAGTTAGGAGCCCAACACATAATGCTCTACAGCACAAGGAGCAGAGAGATTTTAAATTTGTCTTCTTGGTGATAATATTTGGTTGTAGCCAATACACACTGGAAATCATTTTTATTAACTGAATCTTAGTTCTACTAAGATTGCAGAAGTCTGATCTAGTATTTTTGTCATGTGCCATGGAGTCGCCTGTGACTCATAGTGACCGTATGTACAACAGCCCTTAACCCTGCTCTATCCTGTGCCAAGCTTATTGTCTCTGACACACTTACTCCCATTACCCCAGTGACAGAATCAATCCATCTCATTGAGGGTCTTCCTTTCTTGCGTTATCCCTCCACCCTCCCTCTCAAAGGCTTGGTCCCTCCTTGCAGCGTGTCCAAAGTATGTCAGGTGAAGCCTCAGAATCTTTGCCTCCAAGGAGCAGCCTAGTCTCACCCTCTCTAGGATGAACTTACTTGTTCTCCTAGCAATCCGTGGAACATTCAATACTCTTCTCTAGCACCACAGCTCAAAGGAGTCAATTCTCCTTTCATTATCCCTAGTCATTATCCAGCTTTCTGATGCATAACAAGTAATTGCAAAGACTATGGCCTGGATCAGGCACACCTTAGTCTCCAGACTGACATCATTGCTCTTCAGTACTTTGGAGAGATTCCTGACAGCTGACTTTTCCAGTGCAATTTGTCTTTTAATTTCCTGGCTGCTGGTACCAAGAGTGTTGATTGTGAAGCCAAGCACACTAAAGCTGTGAACAATCTCAATCTCTTCACCATCTAGTAATAGACTAGTCTAGAGCAGGGTTTGGAGCTGTTGTGCATGGGGTTGTTATGAGTCCCAAGCGACTCAGTGGCACAGAACAACAACAACAACCTAGAATATAGATTAGAATCTAAATCTTATTGATTGTAATATTGGGCTCAACTATCTCAGATATGGTAAGACTAGCACAGAATAAGGCCAAGTTCAGATCTCTTCATAGGGCTGCTTGATGGCACCTAACAACAGCAGCAACAACTTAGTTCAACATTTATAAACGGAGGATAATGTGGTTGTTGCTGTGTACTGTCAAGTTGGATTTGACCCATAGCTGACCCTCCAGTGGGTTTTCAGGGGCAGTTAACCACACAGGAGGAGACTGCCCATCCTTCTCCCGCAGAGCAGCTGGTGGATTTGAACCACTGTGCCTTTGGGGTTGCAGTGGAATTTCTTACCACTAGGCCACTGACACTATTTCACAGGGCTCAGTGAACCCACCCCAAGTGGGCAGAAACAGATTCAAATTCTCTGACTGCTCAAGCTTACTCTTCCTGGCAATTGTTTTTTATCCTTTGCTGGTGTTAAGCTTGCTTCCACTTCTTTCCTTACCTCCCTGCGGGACCTTGGTGTGATGCTCGCACTCAAACCCCATCTGAGCACAGCTGTGGGTCTCTTCACTGACACTCACTGGCCATTCTCCGGGGAGGGGAGGTACGGCTTCCATTGTGTGGTCTGGGACAGTTCACCTCTAGTCATATCACTCCGTCATGGTACACATTATCAAACAATAGCTGAAAAACCAGTGGTTTAAACTCACTCACATTGTTTTGGAAGAAAAGCCTAGCAATTTGTTTACAAAGCCACAGTCTAGGAAACCCTCTGATACTTGCTCTACTCTGCGGCATGAATTCCAGTCCACAGTCTGCCATGAACTGGAATCAACTCAAAGACAATCGGTTTCATCTCATTTTCTCCTACAGTCACTTGGTCTCAAATCAATGGCTGGGTTGTTCAGAAGGCACCAGTGGGAAGCAGTTCCTGTGGATTTTATCAGACTCCTCCTGGATAAAACATAACCAACCCAGAGCTGAAAATGATGATGGACATCTCCCGTCAGTTTGCTACGTCCTGCCAGGAAACGGGGAGCAGCGAGGCAGCTGAGACAGCACGTCTGAGGGAGAAGTTCATCTGTTCAGTTCGGGTGGAGCGGTCCTGAGAACTTACAGCCCAGATGGACGAGGTTTGGAGAGGTGCGAGCGGCAGCTGGTGCGGAAAGGATGAACGCGGGAAAGATTACAGTGAGAAGGAAATGCGCGTGTAATTCTAGACACCCTGAGTTTTAAGAGCTTTGACTATTGTTATCTGCCATAGAGCCAGCTTTGGCCTCACGGTCCTGAGCAGACACCGGCCCCACTCCGGCTCAGGACTGTGCTCCTGTGATTTGCAGGTGTCTCACCCGTGACTTGTGGGGATGGAAAAGCAGCCTTTAGTCTGTTTCGGCCTGGCAGCTCTGCTCGTATTTCACGTCATCTGTGATTCATTCTCAAGTCCAACCGTACAAGGTACCTACTTGAGAGTAATGGTAATGTCGTCGCATAGCATCCGTCAGGAGTCCAGGGAGGATCTTACAGGGGCCATGGCCACATTGCTGCCTTCCTATGGACCAGCTTCAAAGCCCTGCTCGCCACCCGTCCACCTCCTGTCGCCAGCAGGAGCTCCTGCTCTCCTCTCCCGGAGGAAGTGCGCTCCTGGGACAGCTCTTCTCACCTCTGAAATGTGCTGTCTCAATGAGCTCTGAGCTCACGTCTTCCCGTTCCTGGAGACACCAACTTACCAGACAGAGGGGACTTTTCTTTGTTGAAGAATTAGTCCAACTTGCTGTCTGTGGCAGGACCCTCTGAAGGGTTGAACGGGAAGCAGGGAGTGTGACCGTGAACTCCGTCACCTCCTTGGTCCTCCTCTTTTCCAGCTCCTTTTGCTCAAGATCCTTTGATGTATCAACAATGCAGGAAGACAGAGTGGCCACTGTCAGTCACAGAGAAAGGCTCTGCCTCGCTGCAGCTCCACCAAGCGGATCCTTCCTGTCCACTGCGTGGGGCACTCTGTGGAGCCACCCTCGTGACTGATAACCTAACCGTGGCCTTAAGTGGAAACGTGACTGCGCTGGAGGATGGGTTACAGTACAGCACTCCGGGGTGGAAACTCTCTGAAGGAGAAAGTGATTTAATGCTTTGAGTTGGTTGGGAAGACTGGCCTCTGATCAAAGCGGTTATGTGTGAGGTCGGCTTTGAGAGAGAAACAGATGACTTCCAGGGGACTAGCAGTCCACGAGACAGTGAAGCCCACACGCATTTTCTCTCCTTGCTTGGACGAATTATAAGAATTTTGGAGTAAGGGTAACCATGGTTGACAAAGAAGGTCAAAGTAGGGTTTTTTTTGACCTAAATCTCCTCCTTTTAAATTTTTTTATTAATTTTAATGAAAGTTGACAGAGACTTAGGGTCTCCATTCATTCATTGTTGTACTTTTCTCCCTGCCCACCCCCTCCTCCCAAGTCCCTCTTCTCTTTGAAAAGTAAAAGAAGAGACTTGGGTCTATAAGTCCGAGAGAACGTGTTTGAGAGACCCTTTCTATGAAGATGGCGCCGAAAGCAAAGAAGGAAGCCCCTGCCCCTCCCAAAACTGAAGCCAAAGCAAAGGCATTGAAGGCCAAGAAGGCAGTCCTGAAGGG